TCAATACTGTACAAATACTGTCAACATGTCGTATGTTCCAAGCGTGTTGTATGTCCCATGTATGTAGTATGTGTACCTCTTGCGGGGCTTGGTACCCAGCTGCTGGACTTCCTGTTTCTGAGTGCAGTACAGCAGAGATCTCTGCTGGGTTGAGACCAGCAGCACCTGGTGACTGTACTCCATCTGGACCACACCTGAGGACTCCTCCAACAGCAGCACAGGTTTACACACACCCTGCGCGCACACACACACACACACACACACAGTCAGGAAGGTGTGTTCAGTTATCTGAAGTTAACAGTTATCTGTCTGCTTTTGTTTTTGTTATTATTTTCTGCCATGTTGAAGACAAATGTGTGTTCAGCCAGTAGAGCACCAACTTAAGCCCACAACTGTTGAGTAAGGTTTCTGTTGAGGATGCTGAATCCATTTCTGACATTTTCAAAATACAAAATGCTGCACAGCAAAAAAACCTGAACAAATCTGGACATTCACACCAATTACATTGAGCTTTCTTAAATTGTACAATGCAGCTCCAATGAATATTAAGCATATAAATAACTCAAAATCTGAAAAACTAGTTTCAACGTCCAGTTTGTATTTAGTCAGAAATGGATTCAGCATCGTCAATAACCCCAAACCCTCTCCGATATTGTCCCAATCAGCCAATCAGCTGCTGAGATATCGTCCATATAGCTGATTATTGATACTAATGATGCTAATGATGCTAATTGTCCAACATATGCAGGTTAGCATCAGTCAGTGTAACAGCTGGAGACCCAGACTGAACAGTTCGTGCTGCTGTGTTGACTAAAAGTGATTCATCGAGAAAATAATCTGCAAATGAATTAGCTTTATGGTTGTGTTGTTTACCTGGTCCAGGTCCAGAGAGGAGAATACCACTCGTCCCTTATCGTCTCCAGAGAAAAGTTTCATCCCGTTGGTGCTCCACGCCAAAGACGTGACGGACCCTTTATGGAGGCCGACCACATCAAAACGCCTCAGCTGCACAGGAAGAGAGAGAAACAGTGGTTATAGAGGGCCGACAGAACCTGGGAGACGTGTTGGGGGTCAACAGCTCCTGCTGCACCTGTCTGAAACACACCTGGCGACCTTCTCACCTGTTTATTTCGACCAGGAAGTGGAGACACCAGCTGGAAGACTGCGACTCGACCAGACGCTGTTCCCACGGCAACCAGATCATCAAAACAGCTGAGCAGCTTCACAGCCGTGATCGCATCACTCTTTCCCTGTTACACACACACAGACACACACTGTAGCACAATGCATTCTGGGATACTGAGGACTTTTTCAGTAAGGACAGGAAGTTACGTTTCAAAAACCAACGTGTAATTTATTCAAATTCAACTTCACACAGCGTCCCACTGGTCCTACAGCTGACGTTGCTCCTGGTTTCTGTTTACGGATTAATCAACAGGTCAAACTGAAAGTGAGTTTTAAAAGCACCTTCTGCTGAAACACATGACAAACTACTTTAAAACACTGTGATTATAGACTGTAAAGTTTAAATTCAAAACAAAAACAGAAAATGTTCCCAGAATAATAGTTATGACATTAAGGAATAAAAAGTGACAGCCATATTAAGGACTGAACCAAGACCCAGCTGGACCTCCTGTAAAAACAGACGGAGCACCATAGAAGAAGAGCTCTGACCTCCAAACTGTACTTGTTCATATGTGCAAGGCGGCGACAGTACAGGTAGAGCATGCCGATGCTGCTGCCCACTGCCAGGAAGTCACTGCTGCTGTCCAGAGCCGTCAGGTAGACCAGGACGGACCTGAACCCACGCTGCACCTGCAGCAGAGAGAGAGGCAGGAGCCTTCATCATCAGCATCATCATGATCAATATTAACATCCTCATTAATATCAACATAATGTGTATTAATATTAACATTGTCAGGACAGGTGTCAAACTCATGATCCTTCATAAAAAGTTTTTTTTTTAAAGAAGTGATTTAAAAGTGATTAAATGATTCTGGAGTCCAGATCTGAGTGGTCCTGACTGTAGTCCTGAACCAGGACATAGGAGCAGCAGGGTCCTGCCGAGGATCTGAGACTGTTTCTGTAATGTAACAGTGACGTGCTTTAAAGGTAAAATCTTAAAATCCATCCTAAAACAAATACCATCTTTCTAGTATTTGGTTAAAGTTGAAGGTCTGAGATTGTTTTCTGACCGTGAAAACGATAAATTACAATAATCTACCTGAGACAAAATAAGAGTATGAATCAGCTTTTGGAGGTCAGGTGGAGAAAGAAAAGAAGAAAGGTCAGATATTATTCCCAGGTTGTCGACAGGGAGTTTTTGTAAAACAGCGACAGATTGAGAATGATTTCAGATTTGATTTCATTGAACGGGAGAACGTTTTGGGACATCCAGCACTTTATTTCTGACAGACAGGACAATGAAAACTTCTTTCTTCACTGTTTTTTTTAATGGGACATACAATCGCGTGTCATCTGCATAACGTTTAAATTGAGGTCATTTCACTGAGCAGCTGGTCTCCTGACTCACAGGACGACGCCCTTCTCGTCTCCATTCAATCTTTTTCTGATATTAGTTGTTCACTAGAATTCAAATTCTTCTTACTTTAGTTAATAAATGATTGAGTAGATAGCTATGCGTCTGTGGCTTCATCATCACCGACCTCTACGGTAAAAGTTATGACTGGTAAATAAGATCTTTTCAAGCTGATCCAGTGTTGAATGCTGGGTAAAAGATTCAGTATAGATAAGTAAATGCAATCAGCAGAGGAGTCGTAGTGTGGAGGAAGGTCACCAGTTTAATTTCATTACATTTGTTCTTTAGAAAATATTCCCAGATCATGTTACGGACTCTCTTCTTCTGCTCTCAGACTGGAGAATATGTGTCACCTACTGATTATCTCATGAACCAACTCCAAATCCTCCACCTGGTTGGGAACGGTTCAGTACCTTGGCTGGGATGGCGTTCAGCAGGTAGTAGAGTGGGCAGAACTCCCTCAGGACGGACGGCGGGGTCGGCTGGGCGGCCATGTTTCTGCCAAAGCTGGTCCTGAAAGTTTAAAACCTTCATTTAAAAACACATAAAATGAACCTGAGAAGAAGCTAATTTAAATAATCACACAGCTGCACTGAACTTACAGATTTCTAGCACTGTACTGTTCCCTTCTGCTATCATCTGCTGGTATACAATAACCTTTATTTCAATATAAGTTCAAGTAAATGATTTATTGGCTTCATTTACTCTATTTATTCCCTGAAGGCACAAACAGCTTAGACAACCATAAACAATTCAAACTCATTCATAAATGTGTTGTGTTCTGTAGTGAACATGTTTCAGCTCAACAGATAGGTAAAATGGTAAAATGTACGTTTTATTGAGTGAAGTTTGGTTTGACAATGAATGCTGATCAGCTGGAGAGAACTCTGCACAGTTTAAAGTTTCCTTGCTCTTTGTTCGACCACACAAACAGTGAAATGAGACATCAAGAGCTGCTGGGATTTCTTTAAGGTGACAGTATTGAGCATTGTACAACAGTAAAGGTTTAATGACTGAGCAGCAGATTCTCCTGCACTGCTCTGTCCTCACTGCAGCCACAGAGGGCGGCAGCGGACAGCGCCAACAAACCTTACCAGCTGATCTGTCACATCATTAAAACGCTGTTCGGTGGTCCAGACACCAACCGAATTAAACCGAACACATAACCGAAGTGAAATAAACCGAACAGCGTGCTCCGCAGTTCGTTCAGCCAATCTAAACTCAAGATCATTATTAAATTGAGCATTTGTTTAAGGGGGTTTGGTGTGACGCTATATCTACGGGAGGTGACGGCGGGTTAGCTCAGCAGGCTGCTCTGAAATCTGACAGCTAACGTCCCCAACAACAACAGAATGTCAACAAACAAACAAACAAACAAACAAACAAACAAACAAACAGCATGTTATTTACTGAGTTGTCTTGTCTCGCCTAGCTAGCGTTCTGTTAGCAGGGCATGCTAACGTTAGCCTCTTACTCTGAGTCACAGCGGTGTTGCAGCAGCAGATGTTGTTCCAGATGTTGTTCCAGATGTTGTTCCAGTTGTTTTAATGGCAGCTGGGTGTCACAGCGCGGAGAGGAGACATCGCCCTGTTTACTGCCTCCATCCTCATCACACTGACCGCTGGCAACAAACAGCGCCACCTGCCGACAGAGCCACAGACCGTCTGTAGTCTGACAGGATCAATAATCACTGATCACTTATCGATCTCCATCTGCAGCCTCACGATGCTTCCATTGATATATTTATTAATAAGTGACAGGAAGCGGAAACTCAGTGACTGCTGGTCGAAAACCCGGAAACTGGATCTGACCTTCCGGTTTAAAGCTACTGTATATAAATATTATATATAAATATTATATATAATATATTATAAATATAAATATA